GATGCACATTACTTTTCAGGAAATAAAATTAGCTCAATTAACAACAAATTTTCACCGAATTTTCGAAAATATTGAATTATATTCAAATAATATCCAATATAATCGGCTAAATCAAAAAATTTCCCATATGGTTGCAAGTGAGTAAAAATGATCCTGTCTTCGGTCCCTCCTCTCTTTGGTATACATTAACGATCTACTCAAATGTTTGAGGTATTGCTGCTATTAATGCCTATTTTGCTGCGTTGAAATTGTGGCTACAAGGAAACAAATTATCTTTGAAAGTTGCAAAAACCGAAGGCATGATTATTAGAAGCCGTTGAAATGGGTGAAAATACAATTTACTTAGGAGTTCGAGTACCTAGGAGGAGCAATTAAGATGGTCATCCCAACCATCCTCAATGATAAGTAAGGTTTCAAAGGGTATTGGCATCTTATGGTACTCTAAAGGATTTGTGCATGCATCAACTGTTAAACAGACTTATAACAGCCTTGTAGAGCCCTACCTTATATATTGCTGCCCTGTTTGGAGTAATGTTGGTAAAAACTCTCTAGATAAACTTCAAAAGTTACAAAACCGTGCAGTCACAACAGTTAAAGGATGTCGATATGATCAACCAGCCTTGTCAATCATTCGTGCTTTTTGATAGCCCACGGTCAGGGAGTTACTTGATCTTGAAACCCTCAAGATGGTTTTAAAATCCCTGAATGGTGAGGCGCCGTCCTATATCAGTGACATGTTCACTAGGGTTAGCGAAACAACCTCTCGTCATTCGTGTATTGCGGAATTCTTAGAATTGCGGAGTTCTTATTAACTTAAAAACTTTAAAGTTAAGGACATCAGCTGGTCAGAGAATTTTTTCATTCAGAGGGGCAAATTATTAAAACGGGTTGAACGATACAGCAAAAAGTCAACCAACCCTAAGGAAATTTAAGGAAGGTATAATAAATTCCAGATTGAATGAATCGCAATAGTTCTTTTAAATGTTATTTTTTTAATCTGGTTTTTTTTCAATCTCATTGTATCACATTGTATTTATTATATTTAATAAAGCTTGAATGGTATTTGAATGCATGACCCCCTGTAAATCAGCTTTTCTCTACCTGAGGGGCTACCATGCCTAAAAAATTGAAAATGAAAAATGAAATGAAAATAAAATGAAAATGAGGCACGTGAACACAAATCATAAGAAGGGGTTTCGAATGTGACGTCATTATATTTAAAGCTAAAAGGTAGATTTCGGTAGAAGCAGTAAAACTATTTTACAGAAGCGGACTGGTCCACCGGGACACCGGGAGGTTTTTCGGTGCACCTTTCCCTCAATTTATATTTTTCAGAAACCTTGAAAACTTTCAAAAGGGGAGTAATTTTCGCGAATAGGAAACATTAACACCGAGAGTTTTGTGCTTGAAATACATTTTGTCAAGAATCTTGGCAAGTGACTAGCAGTGCCCTTTCTTCTCCCTGTTTCGCAGAAACACTCAAAAGCCAATTCTGAACTTCTAAAGCAAGAGCCATGAAAATAGGAACCACTTTTTTACCGATGTTGTTAAGATTAAACCAGCTCTTTCGAAAAAGATGGCTCAAATTTGCAATTAGCTATTAAGGTATTCCAATCTTTCCTCAAACTTAAAGAATTATTCTTTAACCTTTTTACCAACTACCAGTAAAGCCTCTTCTTATAAGGTTTTAGCTCCCTTACTTAATTCCGCATGCTGATGAACTGGCATCATATCTTTTGTAAATGATTTGTAACTGTTGCGTAGAAGCAGGAGCAACACAGTCAAGGCTAGTAGGAGCTAACGCCCATCTGTACTTTTTTCAAAGAAATGCTGGAAAATTTCTGAAGATTGCGAGTTTCATTGAAAATGATATCGCCTCCTAGGTTGGAAAAGTTGCTTTCTTTGTGAAATTGTGGAAGAAAGTCTTACTTTCAAAATCTAGAAATCATTTGCGAGCGATACATCATTTGACATCTTTCATTTGAAATTTATCACATTTGTCGACGTTTCAAATACACTCAATTTGACTGAGAATCTTCTTCTTCTCAAAGCAAATTGTGAATAAAAAAGACTTTGAATTTTAACATGGGGCATTTTTTAACTTTCTAAATAGCGTGATTAAAATAATTTTCTGGGAACCAGTCCCCATTTTGCTCGCAATCTAATTCCCCATTCTATCCTGCATTGCGGTCGGGTTTTAACAATGAATTGTGATATAGTCTGCCGTAAACTGATTCGCCGCTACACAATGTTTTCTGGACCAAGGATGTAGTCGTAATATTTTAGCAAGGGGGGCTCTATAAAATTTCTAAGTTGTTCTTGTCATGTAATCATTGTAATTTGAACATGACGATGGGGTGATGTTTTTCCGATCATTGGTTGAGCAGCCAGGTGTTTGAGCGGAGCTGAGATCAGAACATCAATACCATGGGAAGGGCACGAGGGAGAGGGGAACCTCATTGCAAGTGAGGGGTGCAAAATGTTTGTATTGCTCAGGCGCTTAGTGAAAGCCACCATGGCTGGCGGTGAGAAAAATTTTGGTATATGACATTCTAACAATGGCCAGAAATGCATCTAAAATATTTACGGCATCGAGGAACAACTTTCTTTTAACTAATAATGACCCATTGGTTGGATTATGAATTGTAACAATTTCTCGTGTTTACAAAACAGGGGAGATTTTGGCCCGAGTTACACGACGTCGGATTGGGTTCACTTCGGATTGCTTTTCACTTCGGATAGGGGTTTCAGTTATACGACGCTGAGGCAATCGGAAGTACTTCGGTGGGCGTAACCGGAGTGAAAGTCACTCCGCTCTGGAGGTGAAGTGAAAATCATTCCGAAGTACTTCGCTTCGCATTCTTTCTCATATATTGAATAAACACTGAATCCGAAGTGATTTTCACTCCGAAACCTCGTTCCAGATCACGTTGTCTCTGTGCAAAATATGCGCGCTTTTTGAAGAAGAAAATACCCAGCATAAACATGGCTGAAATGAAATTGTTAATCAAAATTTTTCTTGGCATGCTTGAGGGTTTTACCACTTTATTGCAGCAGAACAGCATGTTATTTGAGTTCATTACTCACAACTATCTGGCACGAAGAAAATTGTTAACGAAACAAATAGCTATTGCGTCAGGAAAAGGTGAAAAATTGAGGTCCAGCGTCGCTTCTGGCTTAAGCCCGGTGGCTGCAGCGGCTTGTGGTCAAATCTAAATAACGGGTTTATAGAAGGTGATGAAGAGTGGCAACTTAACCTTCGTATGTCCAGAAATAGTTTTAATTTGTTGTGTTATGAACTGCGTCTATACATTGAAACATAGCAATCCGGCATCGTGTAACAGCGAAGCAAAGCGGAGCAAAAGTCAATCCGAAGTCGTGTAATCACTTGGAAAAGCGAAGTTCATCTGCTTCGGATTGGGTTGGGCAATCCGAAGCGAAAACCAATCCGACGTCGTGTAACTGGGGCCTTCAGCTAATGAACAGTGCTACTTAAAACGTCACACAAAACTGCTATTCAGTGGACTTGGAAAGTATTCATAGTTTACAGATAAAGAAATATCGATTTTGAAATAAATATAGCTTTAAAAACAACCGTGCCTAAAATTATCCAAAAATTTTCTAAAATTTAGAACATGGATATAGCCTATTTAGAACATTATAGACGGGTAAGAGACACTCGATATAATTCGCGTTAGTCGTAAGTAAAAAAATGAATATCGCTAGTCGTGAGTTTAACAAAATATTTATCAGTAGTCAGTTGGCAAAACAGTCTTCTATTCACTTAGTCAAAATCACCTTCTATACACCCTCTACAGACATGGACTTGACATAAGGGCTACAGACACACGGTTTGCGCAATTGCTTGATAAATTAAAAGCTAACCAGGTTTATAGTTAGTGTTGCTTTTTGGGTGATGCCTCAGTTATGATACTCCTGTAAAAAATATGCTTTTCAAGGAATTCATGCAGCATTTGCTGATCAAACTTTCGCTTTTTATGAATTTTACAATAACAATAATCTCTTTGTAACTGATTTGGAAGCTGGGTTAAAAAATTGCTAGAAGAAATTAAATATGTGAACACTATCATTTAAACCAAACCCTGAGACCTCATTATAATTGTGTTGTAGAAATCTAAGTAAACAAACCATTATTAACAAAATCTTTACTGGATTTATCAGTACTATACTGAAATGAACCAACATCAAAAAAAATATTCAGACAAGACAAGCACCTTCCGTTCGTTTGTACAGCTTGCCACCAGAACAAACTCTAAGCAAAATATCACTGAACAATGTCGTTAAAATCTGAATCCCCAGAAGCCCAGAAACAAAGCTTTCGTATACAAAGGATTGTTAACCAATGCTGCTATCAAAATACGTTTTGTATACGGTCTTAACAGTTTCTGGATATGCCAACTCATAACATATCTGACAGACTGGACAAAACTCCAACCTTACATGTATGCAGTCTGCAGTTGGGTAGCTTGACCTTCCAGACTAGGAGGTTGAGGTTCATCAAAAGTTAATTTTTCTGACGAGGATATAGATGAAGAAAAATTTAGGTGTTGTTTCTGTTAACAAGCTGATAAAATTTATGGAACAACTAATGATGAACTGGGGTGTCGCACCCCCTACACCCCCTGCTAGCTACGCCCCAGACGGTCTGCATTACATATTTAAGATGAACTTTTATACTTATGCACAAGTGATGTATCAAGCTTCAAACTGTTTGGGGCTGGAGAAAACAAACGAATCTGCGAAGAGCAAAAGGACAGTCGTTAAAGGTGCAAGTCCTGATCAGAGGCAGGCATACCCTCTTCATAATTGGGGCCTGGGAGACCTCCCCCAGAACAGTTGAAATCTAGATTCTCGGAGGATGAATTTTTGAATTTTCACACTGGTTTTCCATTTACAAATATAGTCATCAATAATAATTACCTTCTACGCAATTTCAAGTTCCAAGGAAAATGATTCCTGGAAAGAAAAATACTTTCAATTTATCAAGTAGGCATGCATATTTTCGGGTCAATCTAAAAATTCTAATCATTGCAATGTAATGCTGCTAATCATGACTATCGAATTTTTCAATAATAAATTCATCATGTACCAAATGGTATTAACCTCGGTTTCATTAGTCTTTTTTAATAATAATTCAAAAATAAATATGGTATTAATCTTTTTATATTTTGTATGTATAAATGTATATATGAAATATGTCAAAAATCTGTCTGTTGATATTTCTGTAGCTTAGAACTCAATACGTTTGCACGTAGAACGTGATATAGCATGGAGATGAAAAAAATAAGACTACATGGTTTATCACTACAAGCCTGTTTTAAGATAAACTCACTCTTCAGGAGGATGAAATGTATATATGTATATATGTATAAATATAGTATATATTTATAACTAGATTTTTGTTCTACAGAAAGCAGTAGTGCTATGAACAGAATTTGTAGGAAATACAATGACAAAAGACAATTCATTATTTTCCGGAACGCGTTTCATCCTTTCAACGAGGAATCATCAGCCTATTTCAATATATACTTAGATAAATATACTTCATTAGTTTTTCATTTTCTATTGCAAAAGTGCTGAATCGGCCGAGCACTTTCGAACGTAGATCCACAATTGCGTATTTCGCGCTGTTTTTGCTGCTGATTGACGTCAGCCTTATTTAGTGACTCAAAGTTTCATCATTACCCGTCCAGTTTGGTAACTACCATGTCGAACCATGTCGTATGACTACTTCATTATAAGATCGTATGTGTGTTTCCGGTGCAGTGAATTCTGTGAGTGGCTTGTTTGAACAGCTGTTTTCACTTTAAAGGTGGAAATACCCCCGAGGTTTAAGGCCTAGTCACCCCTCACCCGAAGGGTAATCGTCTGTTTCCTTCAATGTTATATCAACCAGAGGTTTACATGTCATATATCCAAATTAAAAAACCTACAACGTCTAGATAGCAGGTAAATGACAATCATGAAAGTTCAGCAAACAATAATGGCATTGATATTCTGACACAGCCTGTTTGATAAAAACAGGTGCTTCTGTTGCTAAGGCTTCTTCTCCTTGTGTTGCGTCTGAATGGAAGAGTAGCTTTATCAATTCCGCATTTGTGTTATTGTAGTTCGTCATAGAATACAACTGTCAAAATCACTGTCGCCTAAGTGTACAAAAAACCAAGATTACGATGTTTGGGTACTCCAGTGTTGCTTGACCCCAAGTTGAATAAGGTGTCAAGTAAAACGGCCTATCAAGGGTAAGTAATATCTTTGTTTTTCTTATTCTTAGTACATATACCAGAGATATTTTGTTGACAAAATCAACAAAAATTGTTAAGATCTACCTAAGCGATTTACAGTTTGACTACGGCCAATGCAAAGTAATTTCTTAGAAGTTCCGCCATAAATGATGGAATTGAGCAGCCTGAAATTGAATATTTGTTCTACAACATTATGATAAGGTAACTGGATTTTATCATTTTAAAATGTGGTCGGAAAAACATGCTTGCTAAGAAAAGAAAGACGACAAATTTATCTCAATTTGTTGTTATGCTTCAGAAAAGTGCTTCTTGAGAATATGCTGAAAATGAAAACATGCGTCGGAAGCTATACTTCGTTGCTTTCTAGAATACTTCTGGATTGCAGAAACTATTATATGTAGAGTCAATTGAAATGCCATTCGACAATCTACGGTTGTAATCTTGGTAAGAGATTTAATCTTAAAGATTAAACTTTTGCATTGGCTTTCGAGAGATTGATGCATTCCTGTCAAAACTCGTTGACTGGAAGTGAAAATAAATTGCTCATTTCTATTAATGTTTTGCGTAACCAAATTTCTTATATATACATTGGATATATTTAATGGTAAGCAGTATTGCAAATGATAGGTGTATCACGTACATAAGGCTTAAGTGAATAAGTTGGAAGTGAAACCGTCGTTGCGTCACTGGAACCTACAGCAAACTGAACACAACCTTCTTGCCAAATGTTTAAAGAATCTGGACTGCTGTTTATGTAACGTAAAAGCTTTATTTGTCATCGCAGTGTGGTAAGATCAAACGACTCATCGCAAATTTAAGTTTCTTTTTAAAAAAAATCGAAATTCAAGCGTTGACTATTCTTTTTATAGTATAATTTTATGCTGTATCATCACATTATTATCGGTTGCTTTAAGATTGTGGATTCCTTGGTATTTTTTTTTGTATTTTGCAACTATTCTTGGGATATTTCACCAAACTTGCAGTTTATAAATTTGGGCGATTGGACTCTTAATTTCTATCTAGCGCCTTGGGAATCTCCGAGTCTTGTGTAGTCACAACGAGCTCCTCTATACACTCTACCCTACATCCACGAAAAGGAACCAATTGGTCCGAATATCTCAAACAAGAAAACAATATTCTTCATCCTATTAGTACCATCTGCAACTGATTGTAGTCTGTTCGCTCAATGATAACTACCTGATGTTTGGCACTGTAAAAAGCGTCTTAAAAACGATGCTTTCACTTTACAATAAAGTTAGTTCACTCTTTGGCTATTATTTCAGTCTTTTCCAATCGCTCTTTGCATGCTAATCACTCAATGTAAAGTTGTTGATTTGAAATTTTGAACTCATTTGCAAGCTTTGTTCTTCTCTGAGACTGTTAAAAAATGATGCTAAAATTTGATTTCTTTAAACCTCGAGTAAATATTATTAATTGGTATGTAGTCATCTAACTATCTTTGTCTTCGATTCAGAATTGAACAAGATATAGTGAACTAAAGACGAGCGCACAAATATTTGACATCGGACTGCCTGCCAGTCGAAAAATGGATTGGCTTTACGCGTTGTAAGTAGCTTGCTTGAAATAAGCATGGAATAACATGATGGTTAAGCTCTTTGGGTGCGGTGCTGTCATTGTTTTTACTTTTTCTACTCCTTCACTTAATTTCAAGATTGACATACTTCTTGATTTTTATCAACAGTAAAATTCAAAAGTCATTCAGTCCTTTTGTGATACATCGCCGTGGGAAATTATAAACATTTAAGAACGAAAGTTAAAGAATTGGTGTAATCTATCTGCACCGATTTTCACCAGTTAAGTAGTAATATAGAAAAAGGTTTTTGAAATTACAAAGTCAATTCGATATGTCAATTTAGATAGGTAAATCATTTGCAGTCTGAAAAGTAAACCTTTTAGGCATATGCGACAAAGTTGATAGAAAAAAATTAGATATTCTTATTTCGATCAGCCAACATTAACAGAACTTATAGGAAACACAACGGTTAGCTTTCACATCAAATACATGATTCACACATATTTCTAGACATACCTCCAAATCTTTTATTGTACATGCATATTTATAAGGCAGCTGTACAGCTGATGTTGATTTATTTCATCCAAAAATAAAATATGAATCTAAATTACAAAATGACGCCATTTGTCTAAGATGAAAATATTTATAATAAGCAAGTTAGTAAAAGTAGTAGAATTACTTCTTAATAGATTTTATCATAGTAAAAGTCCATTCAAGTATTGAGATTGGTAAACAAAACATTCCTCTGTTGATTTGATTGCAAATGCTCCTGGCAGCACGTTGATTATTCAAAAGATCTCTGTATTTTGGTTTTGCCACAATAACGCTTTATTTTCTTTTGCAGAATTGAACTTCTTTTCCTTCACACCTTCCTACTACATTCAGAGATACTTCGCTTGCCCTGTTCCACATTTGCCAACTTCACTGAAATACACAGAGACAGTTCTATTTCTTCATCCTTTAAAATCATCTACAATGTAGATGTTAATACTTGTAAGTTCGAATGTATAAGAGACAGAAAATGCAAGTCCATAAATGTGAGTGAGGATGACGGTGCTTGCGAGTTAAATGCAAAAGCAGCAGAAGATCCAAAGGATAGGATCAAAACACATCCCAGATATGGATGGACTTATTACTCCACTCTTTACAATCAAACATCGGTATGAAATTAGATGTTTTCAAACCTGATTATCCCTGCAATAGCTTGATAGATGGAATATGAAACTTATGAATTATGCAATATTTATTTCAAAAATGCATTTTGATGTCAAAATTAAAGCCGAAACAAATTTGCAGTTATCGTATAATTTATTTTCCATATCAACTGTTTCTAAATAACTACGCAATTCTTTTCTTTCCAAAAGACCAAATAATTAGGGAGCATAAAATAATTTTACATCTTCCTTTACTGAAAAAACATTAAGATAACCATCAAAATTTGGAGAACAATCTTAGGCAAAAGCCAATCAAAGAAGAGAAGGAGAAGGTTTTCTCGTCCAACATAAATATGGACATAAGGGAGCACTTGAGTCCCCTTCCACCTTATTTTTTCGACAGGGCTACAGACTCTACCTGAAGACATCTGTCCGGGGATACAATATTGTAGACAGCTGCGGTGGCAAAGAATTCAAAAATATTTTCTGTAACTTGTCTCTGACTATAATTCTGCGCTTAAATAATTGAGACTCTGGTACCCAGAATACTTGACGCCATTCCGCCGTGAAGCTTTTTTTATTTATTTCTAATGTGATGGTATCCATTCAAGCTTGTTCAATCATACCATTCATGATCGGTATGACTAATCCAGGTTGTCTCATCAAATTTCTTTATCACCAGTTTGCTACAATGAGCTACATCAGCTGCAAATTTGAAATATAATTTTGTTTGAGCTGTTTGGTAAAGAACCTGACTCTTATTTGATAGGTTGGTCAAAAATGCAGCAAAGATAATAGATGCCCGCCTGGAAGAAAATGTGTTGATACATGCATTTGTCCAGGCTACAGGTGCATAAGTGAGTATTTTTCAAACATTTTATAATTAATTCAAAGGGTATCTATTAAAAGTGATAAACGTTTGCCAATTTTCATTGTCAAAGCTGCATTTGCGCTGTACAGACAAATATCGTGTTATTTCAATGTTTCTGCCACTATACTATCTGCCATCACAAATATCACTTGTCTAGCATGAATTACCCGATCATTGATAGTAGGCAGTAGGAGGAGCAGGGGTTACAGGAAGAGCAGAGATAGCAGGGGGTGCAGAGGCATCAAGGGGAGCTGGGGGAGCAGAGGCAGCAAGGGGAGCAGGGGGAGCAGGGGGAGCTAGGGAGCTGAGGGAGCAGGGGAGCAGGGAGCAGGGGAGCAGGGGAGCAGGGGAGCAGGGGAGCAGGGAAGCAGGGGAGCAGGGGGAGCAGGGGAGGAGGAAGAGCAGAGATAGCAGGGGGTGCAGATGCATCAAGGGGAGCTGGGGAAGCAGAGGTAGCAAGGGGAGCAGGGGGAGCAGGGGGAGCTAGGGGAGCAGAGGCATCAAGGGGAGCTGGGAGAGCAGAGGCAGCAAGGGGAGCTGGGAGAGCAGGGGGAGCTGGGGGAGTAGAAAAAGAAGGGGGCAGAGGCAGCAGAGGGGAGCAGGGGCAGCAGGGGGAGCAAAGGCAGCAGGGGGAGCAGAAGCAGCAAAGGAAGTATTGGCAGCAAAGGAACCACATGAAGCAAAAGAAGCAGAGGCAGCAGGGCCGGGGTAGAAGGGAAAGCAGTGGGAGCAAAGAGAGCGGGGAGAGCAAGGGGAATTGGAGAAAATTTCAACCTCCCTCTCAGAATCTCCAAAGGATATGTCATTTTATGAGGCATGGTGATATGGATGCTACAGGAAAATCAAACAAACCTTTCTCTTCTTCAGAATACTGTTAGGGCTTTGCTTTGTTACTTCTAATTTTAGAAAAAAATTCCAAGTAATAGTCTAATCAAGTAATAGTAATAATTAAGAATTATCACTCTATAATGATGAATTAAAAAACCACTATTTCCACCATCTGACCATTATTTTCTTTACCTTTTTTTTCTTTTATAGAAAAATCACGCAAGTTTAAATTTTTTTTGTTATACTTGCGCTTAATTGACCGATATCCAATTTATAAGTATAATGCGGATTTTTTTCCAGAAAAATCGTATAAAATTTGGCTGTCGCAACATTCACATCGAACTTTACAAAAATAATTTTGCGAACATTAAAAGTTTCTTTCAGGGTTTTTGCTAGAGTTAGAATTTTGCTCAGCTCTATAACATATTTCTACTTAATTATTGATCTGCATCTTTTATGTTTCTCAAAAAAAATTTCTTTCAGAAATCAAAGTCCCTTGATTTTTGGCTTTTCCCGTTTCACGTCAAACATTGATTTCCAATACCTAAAAAATAGTTTTTGCTTGAATAGCTTTGAATTATCCATCATATGCTAGCTATTATTTCAGCCATAAACAAGGCCATGTGTATGATGATCAAATTAATCTCTAAGATGTTTGTTTTTTAACGTTTGGTAAAACAAAGAATACTCCCGTTTAATTTACTTACTCGGGAATGAAATACCAATGCAATGCAGTTGGGCCGTTGGTGCATCGGCGCAAATCTCTCCACCAACGATAAATCACGTAAGGAAAGGGAATGGACATGAAAAGTCTATTTTCCCCACTAATAGCCGATGCACCAGTCATACATAATAGCATCAAAAAAATGCTTGATAGCTTAACAGGTGCTTAAAGTTATGAGAGGTTTTAAAGATGCTGTAGAAGAAACTCGACACGCAAAGCTATACTAAAACGGCATTTTGCATAAACAATCAATATAAGGGAGGGTGGTCTGGGAAAGTAAAACAGCTTACTTGTATTGTGGCTTCTCCAATCAAAGTGAAACCAAGCTATGCCAAAAGCTTAAATACCCCTAGATTAACCAAGGACATGAGGACGCCACGAAACAAACATCTTACCCTAGTTTTACAAATCAAATTCTTAGGAGGTCGAAAGACTCCATATCCATTGCCCTCGGTGGGAGGGGGTACCTTAACACGCTTGAAGGTACGGGGATGTGCCATTATTTAGGGATACCTTATATCTGAAAAGTGCGCAATTATCAGTATCAGTTTTTGAAATATGTGCGGAACTATGGGTACCATTTTAAGAAACATGCAGAATTATGGGCACCATTTTGGGAAAATATTGCAAAATTATTAGAAGGGATATTTAGCATTAACAAAATGAATGACCAGTTAGAAATAAAACTATGAAGTCTGTGTAATATTGAGATTTTGAGGCAAAGGACGTGCAAAATTCGTTTAATAATTTCTATGTGCTTTAAAAGTTTTATTTGCTTTGCGGAATTATGGGAATAGCTTTCATCATGTTTGCGGAATTATGGGTCACATTTTTTCAAACATTTGTGGAATTATGGCTCCAAATTTTTAACCAAAATGGCACGTCTCCGTCATAAATTAGGCTTAATTTAACCCCCAACCCCAACAGCCCGTGAAATCAACTCTAATAAAATTTCATTTAATCGTCAATAGTGAATTATGTTGATGAAAAAGATACAAGAATGGCTCAAAGCTCTTTATGATTGGGGTACCTTCTTTCTTTGATACCCTTTCTATAGCATGATTATTTTTCAATTCTTTTTGTCAGAGTTGGATTCTTGCTCGGACTGGTACAGAAATGGGGCCAGATCCAATGGTATATATTACATTTTCGACCATTATAACAAAACAAATAAAGTTTTCTGTGATTTTGAGGCAAAGAGAAGATATATTTGGACGTTGGTGATGTCTATTCAGTTTAAAAACAACAACCTGGTAGATACGATACCTCTCACTTCGAATTTTTCACTTAATGAACAGAATCCAAATTGGATGCTATACCGGTGAGAATTTAAATTCATGATTTTCTGTTTTGAAAAGCAATTAAAAATTATCAACTGAATAACTGGAGTAGAGAATCCTCTGGGAAATCACATTCGATATAATCAATGTTAACTACAAAAATTTCTCAGGAACTATTTCTTAGTTAGCATATTTGCAAAAGTGGTTTCTTTTATCGGTAACAAACGATTTACATGCATTTTCTTGGCAGGAGTTGAGGGTTTGATAATAGAAGCTACGGGTTATGAAAGAACATAAAGTTCTTGTCTTCTATTTTATCATTATTTACATACTTTTTTCCCTGCTATTTAAATTTTTTCTGGCTTTAAGGTTGTGCTTTCTCGAGAGGGTGCTTTTTTGAGGGTGGTCGCTTTCTAGATTTTTCGTCATTTCACCAAGTTAGTTTGTTATCAAAAATTTACTTTTTGTAAGTTTGACAGGGAAACGTAAGCGTGAATTTGGCTTTATAGTTCCAGAAAAGTTTCAAGTTATGACGATAGATGCTAGACAAGCAAACGCTTTATAGGACGAACAACAAAAACTAACACTTTTTTTGAATTTTCATATGAAAAAACGTTATAGATAAAGTTCCATGATTTATACAAAAGTAAAGTGACAAATTACAAACAATTCCTATGCTGTTTAGATCGATCAAGATTTTTTAAGGGAAGAGTTCGAGGGTAGGCCTCTTTCAAATTGTTGATGGTTAAGGGGGCGCTTTTTCGCGGGTTTAAGCTTTTTAGAGGATATACGGCAATCGATTTTCTTGTTTTTATCTATACAAGAATTTCTCATTTTCTTCCCACCGTTCATAGACTTTCCAAACCAAATATGATGAGAATCAGAAACACCTCGACTCACTGGCGTGGTACTTGCAATGCTGGCAAGCGTCAAAACACTACTGTGGATTCTATCAGAGTTGCTTTAAAAGAGCTTGATCCTCCAAACTTCAATGGAGCTGATGAATGTAAGAAAGTTGAGTACGTCAACATCAGGGGAATCGAGGGATACAATGTATCAGTGACATTTTGGCAGGTGACCAATATAATGCTTCACGTGGACAGTAGCGAAACTGGTTGTTCTTTCAACGCCACGAAAGGATCTGTGTTCAGCGAAGACAACTTTGGCTACTACCTCAACTCTAACCCTAAATTCAGCTGTACGGAAAGCAAAAATGCAACCACGCAAATCTGGTTCGGAGAAATTCTTTGAGTTTTGCTGTTTGGCCTGCTTTTTTAAGACTGTTAAGAAAGCTACAGGGGTTGATTCATGGTATTCACTCTAGGAACGTTTGAAAAAAAGCAAGAGGGCCGTTTCCATCCTAGTTAATTGTCTAATTTAATACTAGTTTGCTCTAATTGCTAAGCTACTAATTGTTTCAATTTTCATCATTCTTGACAAGATTGATAAAACTATCAAGATATTGAATGGCTCATACATCTAACATTATACCTGAATATGGTTGGCAGTTTACAACCTCTTCAGTTAATGGAAAATGGTTATGTTCACGTTTTCGAAGAAAATAGTTGCTTAGCCTAAGTAAGCAGGTTTAATTTAAAACTAATTGAGAACTTAACAGGTCCTTTGTTGATAGCAGAAAATTCTTTTTACTGAACAAGTTTACATGTCAAAATATAGTTATTCTTGTTGCTGTTATTAAACCTCATGAAGATAATTTGAATACACTGTCTGCATTAGTTAAATATTGACTTTGAAGATTAATGACCAATTTCTCTGAAAATTCTCTGGAAATCTAAAAAAAATGGACGAAAGCTACAGGCTTGAAAACATTTGTTGAAGGGCTAGTAAAAACTCCAGCCTTACTGAATTTTCATTTATACTTTTTATGCCTACATCATACGAGCACATTTTATAAACATTCGTAATTTTTGAATGTCTAAATACATTCATACATTTCAGTAAGAATTTTTACATTTTAATCAAACGATAACCACTTATTGAGGCGAGCAATGGTTGCAGAAACTCTTCGTTTGAAATATGTATCAATCAGCAACAAGATTTAAAACTTTGCAAATTAAGTGAGATTATATTGAATCATCATTTTCTCAATCAGAATGGCTGCACAAAATAAACAAATTTTCCAAACCATATAAAATAAAAGCATTATAGACGTGTCCGCTTGGTAACCTCTTCATCAAATATTTATACTTTATCAGTGAATCCAGTTGTGGGTCGAAATTTTTCTTTAGTACGTTTTGTTGTTTACTTAAAAGACGTGATCGACTCTCAATTTTATTGATTTTGTTCAAGCAAGTTGAGAAATGAATTATATTTATCTCTCTTATGTACATCTATCCGCTTTCAATGCTTCTTTTTCAAGTGAAATATTCAATATAACGAAAAAGTTGTTTAACCGTCTGAGGCAATTCTTTGTTTTCCTTCCCAATACCTTTGATATTGACCTCAAGTTACTTTGATAAGCACCGTTCTTGCAAATGTTTCTTTCAGAATTTAATCAGTTGATTAATTCTTTTTGAAATGAAGCTTTCAACTTTTGGGCTTCTTTTTAATTAAGGATTCAAAACGTTTGTTATTGCTTTTCACATTCTGCTAATAATCATGGAGAGAGTACAGTAGGGGATTAAAGTCCTTGGGTTTAATGAAAACGTCAACTTGCATTTCTTCCTTATTTATCAAAGGAATAGAACGATACTTTAATCCAATATAACTAGGCACAAAAACATTTCTCTTTGAAAGCTAGTTATAACAAATAAAAACAAGTTCGGTACCGTTTGGTTGCCGAATTTTTGGAAGAAAAGCTGTCTCGAATAGAAGTTGCCTCGAATAGAAGCCGCGTCAAATAGAAGAAGCCTCGAGTAGAAGTGGCAGGAATCTTGGAGCAAACATAAATAGAAATCCTTCGTTAATAGAGAACGCAGTTGGGTAGAAACCCTAAGATAATAAGTCTCAGCTCTAAAGCAGACACTTGTAAAAAGAGAGAATTTGTCTAAAATTTTAAGGGCACATGTCACTTGTCGCAATATGATTGGTAATGAGTTTAATCTGATAGATTTTGATGATTTGAATTCGAAAAATGGCAAACTATTGCTTAAAAAGCAAGAAAGGTTGCACTTGATTAAATCACTTTTTTTATAAAATAGAAGCCACGGCTTCTTTTGAAAACTGCTCCTTAAATTCTTGAAGGGCATGTGCGATTGATTGCTCTTATTGAAAACATCGCCAAGTAATGTAAAATGATAATACCGTATTGGACTTTGTAAAACCGAGCAATGCTCCCGTACGAAAATTCAAATATGAAAAAATCATATTGGTACCATATACATCCCAGTGTTCCTTCAAATTACACTTGAGATTTCAATCAGCCACAAAATGAATTTCTAACTTATAAATGTGCCAAACGATTCCCAGGTATTTTCAAAGTAGGCTTAAACCAAAGCTCAAATCCAACCTATTCCTAACTCAAGACTTTCAAATAATAATAAAACTAATCTACTTTAACTCAATCAAAACACATTTTACAGGACATCTTACAATAATGAAAACAGTAGTAATACAGATTCCCTCGCTGCGCTTTGCTTTATGTTCTCTAGCAACACGTCTTTTGAAGTCACACTGGATTTGAACTCGTACTTGTGAGCAAATCAGATTTTACTATAAACCATGACAGATAATGTAATATATTGATATTGACTTAAATTTTCTGATGGAAACTGCTATACAGTGATTCACTGCGAGGTTTAATCTGAACTACAACTTCAACATTACCTTGAATTGAGTCTTAGCGAAAAGTCATCAAATGTAGCTTGATTTGATGGAAACTTTGGTTAGGTATTTACAGTAAGTAGGGAAATGTCTTTACACAACTCAGTTCATAAGACCACGATCGCACCTGACCCGGACTCGGTCGAATTTCCGATAGGACTCGGACGAGCTCCTTCTGTCTACACAATAGCGTCCTTTTTATTTGTAGGGAAAAGATTTGCAAAATATTTGGAAAAGATTTGAATGTTTGTAAAAGACTTATCATTTCGTAAACATTGAAAGCCATTTGAAAGTACAAAATGCTAGGAAATGCTTCTTGTTTGGACAATCAAGAATTATCAGACAAAAACACAAATCAGATGCAAAAAAGAGGTCAGAGACCTGGGCAAGAGAGGCAACAAATGAAGAAAGACTGACCCGGTCGCGCTGTTTCCATGATGTTTGCTTTGTGCTATTTTGTTGTCGCTAAGATTTCCCCATTTCGTGTATTAGAGGAAGAGATCACAGAGAGAAGAGCCTAAGACAACATAACAATCATGCGCCGGTGAATTGGAAGATTGAAAGTGAATAGCTTAGAAGTGAATAGCTTAGAAGTGGATAGCTTAGAAATGGATAGCTTAGAAGTGGATAGCTTAGAAGTGGATAGCTTAGAAGTGGATAGCTTAGAAATAGATAGCTTAGAAGTGGATAGCTTAGAAATGGATAGCTTAGAAGTGGATAGCTTAGAAATGGATAGCTTAGAAGTGAATAGCTTAGAAGTGGATAGCTTAGAAGTGGATAGCTTAGAAGTGGATAGCTAAGAAATGGATAGCTTAGAAGTGGATAGCTTAGAAGTGGATAGCTTAGAAGTGGATAGCTTAGAAGTGGATAGCTTAGAAGTGTATAGCTTAGAAGTGGATAGCTTAGAAGTGGAAAGCTTAGAAGTGAATAGCTTAGAAGTGGATAGCTTAGAAGTGGATAGCTTAGAAGTGGATAGCTTAGAAATGGATAGCTTAGAAGTGGATAGCTTAGAAGTGGATAGCTTAGAAGTGGATAGCTTAGAAGTGGATAGCTTAGAAGTGGATAGCTTAGAAGTGGATAGCTTAGAAATGGATAGCTTAGAAGTGGATAGCTTAGAAGTGGATAGCTTAGAAGTGAATAGCTTAGAAGTGGATAACTTAGAAATGGATAGCTTAGAAATGGATAGCTTAGAAGTGGATAACTTAGAAATGGATAGCTTAGAAATGGATAGCTTAGAAGTGGATAGCTTAGAAGTGGATAGCTTAGAAGTGGATAGCTTAGAAGTGGATAGCTTAGAAGTGGATAGCTTAGAATGGATAGCTTAGAAGTGGAAAGCTTAGAAGTGAATAGCTTAGAAGTGGATAGCTTAGAAGTGGATAGCTTAGAAGTGGATAGCTTAGAAATGGATAGCTTAGAAGTGGATAGCTTAGAAGTGGATAGCTTAGAAGTGGATAGCTTAGAAGTGGATAGCTTAGAAGTGGATAGCTTAGAAGTGGATAGCTTAGAAATGGATAGCTTAGAAGTGGATAGCTTAGAAGTGGATAGCTTAGAAGTGAATAGCTTAGAAGTGGATAACTTAGAAATGGATAGCTTAGAAATGGATAGCTTAGAAGTGGATAACTTAGAAATGGATAGCTTAGAAATGGATAGCTTAGAAGTGGATAGCTTAGAAATGGATAGCTTAGAAGTGAATAGCTTAGAAGTGGATAGCTTAGAAGTGGATAGCTTAGAGATGGATAGCTTAGAAATGGATAGCTTAGAAATGGATAGCTTAGAAGTGGATAGCTTTGAAGTGGATAGCTTAGAAGTGAATAGCTTAGAAGTGGATAGCTTAGAAGTGGATAGCTTAGAAGTGAATAGCTTAGAAGTGGATAGCTTAGAAATGGATAGCTTAGAAATGGATAGCTTAGAAGTGGATAGCTTAGAAATGGATAGCTTAGAAATGGATAGCTTAGAAGTGGATAGCTTAGAAATGGATAGCTTAGAAGTGGATAGCTTAGAAGTGAATAGCTTAGAAGTGGATAGCTTAGAAATGGATAGCTTAGAAGTGGATAGCTTAGAAGTGGATAGCTTAGAGATGGATAGCTTAGAAGTGGATAGCTTAGAAGTGGAAGTAGAACTACAAATCCAACATTGAATCGAGGGAAAAGGGGGATTCGAATTTATATGGGCAATGTAAGGTAGAAAATTACAAAAATTGCATTTTGGCTCAACATTTTTGTCCGGGATTATAGATCGGTAAAGCTGAAGTCTGACTGTTGTCCAATGGTTCCACCGAAACTGAGTTTCTTCACTATGGTTGTTTTCGTTTTGTCAATGACGAATGCATAGGGCCCATGGTGCATAATGCCATCATATTCATGTGACAGTCCAAGAGTTGTCATATCATTTCTTTGCTTTTTCTTGAATTGAATCCTCCTTTCTATTAAGCAAAATCAACCAAATTGCCATCAGAGAAGCATGGAGTTTGGTCTAAACATAAACAATGCATTGGTTTGTTAAAGTACTAAATGTTTTATATTTAATATAACAAAACAAATGTGGAATTGCCTCTGAAAAGTTGGACGTGGTGAATCTTTTGTGAGCGATGTCGAAAACGTGAACACCTGGGGCATGAGATCCTCGGGTTGCTAGAAAATAATTCAATGCTAGGGTACATGTACGGTTAAGATCGTCTGAACTATTCCATGAGTGACCTTTCTTTAAGACTTTGTGCCAATCTCTTCTCGACGTCCTAGCCTTGTGCAACTGATTCCTTAGCGCAATCATCTAAACCAGTGCGTTTTTAGACGAATTACGACCAAGTTGAATAATGAAATTTAAGCTTTGAATTTAAAAAACATTTTATAAGGCTACGCAGTTCATCAGTGGTGCTCGTTGTGATTCAAAGCAACGAACAATCATTAATTCAAGCACTAGCGCACTGACTTCTCTGTATCTGCTCCACTTGATCTGAATCCCTGTCATATCGTGATTGCTCATGGTAAAACCCCAAAGCATGCATTATTTCATGAATAGCGATGCCCTTTATAGCACATCTATGTCCAATCGAAATGACCTGCATGCGCCCGCCCTTTTCACCGAGCTTTGAATAACAACTATAACAAAATAACATTGTTTGGATTTATGCCGAAGATTATAGTTAAAGTTACAAACTGGTTTATCGAAATGTAAAGAAAACGGTGGTTGATCGACCCCTAGAAAATACAAAAAAACCCTAGTTTCAACGGAAGGATATCAAATTAATTTACCGGATGACAATGTTAGAGATTTTTGAGACGATGAATTGCAGATATGCTTTTGATATTGATGATACACGGTCGATATTTGGTACGATTACACTATGCGACATACTAATAGGATTAGATGCAGAACCAACTTCGGAAATAACCCCTTAAAGCTTTTCTAGACTTGGTTACATGTACCCAGTCCTCTTTTGGGTCTTCCTCCATATCTTTCAAGATATGGAAGTCACGAACCTGAAACTTAGTTTTCTGGTGTATTACGATATGCTCATCAAGATGAGACAACATTGTCATACATATACTCAAAAGAAAGATATACTTCTTTACGTATTTTTTATTATAACTCCTAGTTGCATTGTCAGTCAGATTCTGTTCTTACCCTTTTCCATGAAAAAACTTGATATAATGCCTTTTGCTTTTTGGGGTGACTTTCACCAGGCGGATACATGTGTAAAGGAAGTCTCGAATGGCATTCTTGATGGCCCTCCTTCCGCTTAGAGCTTAGAGTGCAATCAGACATTGTATGAGTTAATGAAAAAACATAGGTCTGCAATCTCAGTGTCTCTTCAGACACTCAAAGCATGCAGTATTTAACAAAAAAATTCTTGTTTTGTGATTAAATGTTAACATGCAAAGGCGTCGTTGGCTATTCAGGGGAGTAGTTGCTGGGGGGGGGCAGGGGACACGTGCCCCTCAGCATAGACCATTCGGAAATTGTTCGGTGATCTCGTATTTGTTCGACTGAAGAATATTGGTCGTTCATAGAAAACTATGGAAAGTTAAAATGAACTAATCACTAATCAGCATGAGAAGAAGATTGCTAAGAAAGATTGAGACTGGGAAAACTTTGCGAAGACAGTAAAAATAACAGTGTGCCTATCCAAATCTGTACACTTTGTACACGATAACTGCAACCTTGCCAATTGACTCTTCCAAGTGTGAGCTCATATTTACAAAGCTCAAGTATTAAAAAAACAGGCTGCGATCAACATGGACCAAGAGAGGTTGATCTCTCTAAAATGATCATAAAGGTTGAGCGTTAGTTATGATGAAGTAATCAGCAGCTTTACTTACACACCATTTCTATGGAGACTTTCCACGCTCCTTTAATCATCACGTTGCGTTCTTTAGAACTTTATGATATTAGTAACCAATCTATTGCGTGTTTTACTGTAGATGATAAATACTGCTTATTGATAATTACTATCAAACAAAGGTCGAATGCAAATGTTAAACTACTGTTACAAAAAACACATACTGTCTTACAGGACTCATAAATATCTTCTTCTCAGTAGCAAACTAATTACCAGTTTAACTTTCCTTAACGCCCATGCGGCTGTTTCAAATTCTGAAAAGGTCATGGTGAATTAAAGGAGGCTTTTATATCTTATTGTAAGATCCAGCAAGATATGTTGTGACCTGACCTCTGAGTCTTGATTAGCTTGCTAAATTTAACCAAAGTGTGTAAACACGGAATATTGTGCTGTGCAACCGTTTTTGACATGACTATTAGTACAATGAAGAATGTAGAGTGCCATGAACAAAGCCATATGAAAAGAGAAAATACTTTAAAGAAAAATGTTCTTACTTAAGTAAGGGTCTAGAACATATGGCATCACTCTTGTGTGCCATAATTTTCTCCTGTCTCTGTGTGCCATAATTTACTCATGTGTGCCATAATCATTGTTTTCGAAATATTAATGCTCTTGGAATTTCGTGTGATATACCTTTGAAGCGTTAGTTACAATATTGTCACTTTCGAGAACACTTTAGGATAGTCTGAGCATTGTTTCTATCATTCTTGAACAACTTTTTTGTATGATGCTGCGCTATGGAATATTCAAAGGACGAAAGTTCACAAGTCAACCCTACGGAGGAAAAAATATTGCACTCATCACGTTCATTGCCCACGGATATCAACAAAGTCAATCGCCACTATCCTGCTAACTTTGGGTCATTGCCAGAACATGCTGGTTTTGCCTAATTTGGCTCAAGGCCACAACGAGAGTGTAGAATGACTGAGAAAGGCTTGGCATATTGGATAGAAAATCAGAATCAGAGGTGTGAGAATCAAAGCTACTACAGCGAGATTATCGATAGTCATATTATTCGTATTCAGAGTTTAATGGTTTCAACGGCAAATATCAATAACGTCAAAGATTGCTTAAATAAAGTTTTATGTGCGTATCGAGGTTTTTCTCGCCAGTTTGACAATGAGAGCGATAAATTAAATTAAATGAGTTACGTGTCACAAAATGGCTACAAGATGTTAATACTGGCGAAGACACAGTTTCAAATTCGTCGAAATCTTCAAGGGGTTCAGTTCGCTCTAAAAAATCCAAAAGATTAACGTTATCTGGAGCACTCTGGACGACGTCATAAGAAACAGAGCGAAAATCGCAAAGCTGCAAGCAAAATCAAAATACCTTGAAAAGGAGAAAAAGGCAGAAGCAGAACTCGATAGAACAAGGTTGGAGAAAGAGTTAGCTGTAGCACAAGTAGCTGACAAGGTTCATAGAAAATTATTAGGGGATAGTTATGTCTTAAGCCCTTCTAAGAATACTGGCGATAATACTGGCGAACACCAAATCCACCTACTTCCCAACATGCCCATGCTATGTTTGCAGCACCAGAACCTCAGGCGGTTCGACCTACTTCTCGAAATACAGCTCAAACAGAGAACAGATTATCTAACCAAGAGAATATGGAAGCAATTAAGATGTTATATCTATTTATAGTCAAACAAAGCGAGTGTTTCCATCGGCAAGGAGCTTCAGAGCCCAAGCTTGAAAAGTTTGGTGGAGATCCAATGGAGTATCAATATTTCATTAACATGTTTGAAACAGTGGTTGAGGCGAGAGTTAAAGATCCCAGAGATTAGTTTTGTTAATCCAGCATACATATGGGGAAGCAAAGTCTAAAATTGAGACTTTTTTATATTTGGAAGAATCTGCCACTTATGAAAGAGCTAAAAATTTGCTGCAAGAAAACTACATAAATCCTATCACGATTGCAAATATGTACATGGAGAAACTGAGACAATGGCCGCGTATTTTGGAAGGTGATGGAAAAGGGTTTCTTGAATTCTATGTTTTCTTAATCAAATGCCAAGGTGCATTGTGGGATCAAGTTTACGTCAATGAATGAAACACCAGCTCTCTTCTACAGTCACTGTGCATCAAATTGCCCCAAAGATTGCAAAGAAGGTGGTCAGAGAATGTGTGCAAGACTTTGTCAAAAGCGCAAAGAAGAGCAACTTTCGTTGACTTTGTTGAGTTTGTAAGAAAAGAATCAGAAGTCGCCAACGATCCAATATTTAGTCGAGTAGCTCTGTCTAAAATGATTGACAAAAAGCCTTTAAAATTCGACCAGTCCGAAGCATTAAAAGAGGTTCAAAGCCAAGAGAAACAGTGTACCTAATACCGGCAGTGAAACAGTTGTAAAAGATCTTCTTTGTCCTTATTGCAGTAAAGAACATGATTTGGACAACTGCAAAGATTTTCTTGCCAAATCACCTTATACTCGTAAAATGTTTGTGATTTCAAAAAGGCTTTCTTTTGGATGTTATTCTTCAGATCACACTGTCGTTGATTGCCCACAGAAACGAGTATGCAGCGAAGAAGATTGCGGTGGATTTCACCCGTTAGGAATGCACGGTACTCACAAATTTAAATCAAAAGCCAAGAACCACACCTCAGAAGTAAAATCAAGTGACCGTAGAAAAATTAGTAATGGATGTACAAAAGCTAATGAATCAGGAACTTCTTCCTTGGGAACAAAGAGTATGCTGCCAATGAGTGTGCTGCCAATGCTTTTATTTCACAAAACGTCTCCTGACAAAGTATTAAAAGTTTATGGCATGCTTGACAATTGCAGTCAAGGTTCATTTATAAATCAAGATGTGCTTGATAACTTTGACATCAAAGGTACTGATACGAAAATCTGTATAAAAACCGTGACTGGCACAGTGTCAGACGATTCACAAATAGTGGAGGGCTTCATGGTTTCTGATGTCAACAACACAAATACGATAAGTTTACCAAGATTATTTACCCGCAAAAGTTTGCTCATTGACAAAGATGAAATACCTACAGTAGATAAAGTGAAACATTGGCCATACCTTGAAGGTATCGTGAAAGAAATTCCTGATATTGATCCTGATGCTCCAGTTGCTTTGCTTATTGGATTCAGCTGTCCTGCGGCACTTAGACCGTTACAAGTGATCAATGAAGAAAATAATGCCCCATTTGCTCAAAGAACTCCACTTGGATGGTGTATAGTTGGTCCCCTCACCAATACGGAACAGCATATGTCAACATTACGGTGCAATAGAATTGCAGTTTTGGGTAGCCCATCAAATAAGATTTCACAGCATTTCTTTGGAGTTGAAGAAACGGTGAAAAATAAGGATTTGTCTCAAATCCTTAGTAGAAATGTACAAACAAGATTTTAAAGAGGCAAGCCAAAAGAAAATGAAGAAAGCTCAAATATCACAAGCTACTGAAAGAAATCAACTCCCTAAAGAGACTGTAAACTCAAAAGAAGATAACAGATTTTTAGAGAAAATGAGAACTGAGGTTAAGCTAGTTAGGCAGATCCTTTGCACTACTTCCATCCGAACTTCGCACTTTAGTTGCTCTAGGTAATTTTTTAATCTTTTGGTCACTGAGCCTAACGCTCCGATGATAACTGAAATGATGAGAACTTTGTTGACTTCACCTTTATAGACTTTGAATATTTTGTACTTCAGATCGCAATAAGCATCTTTCTTTTCCATTTCTTTCTTTTTTCTGGTATCGAAGGAACATGCCACGTCTATTATATAACATGTTTTTGACTTTTTTTCAATGACAACTATATCTGGTCTGTTATGTTCGATATTAGACCCATAGAAGTTTAACTGCTTCATTTTCTAGTACAGCAATTGTGTTATCTACAAAGTGTTCGTAGTTCTCTGATCCGCAAGGAAATCCAAACTTGTGGCACAGATGCCAATGTATCACAGCAGCCACTTTATCATGACGCCCTTTCTTGTACTCATTTTGTGCCAGTTTTTTACACTCCGAGACAATGTGGCTTATAGTCTCATCCCGCTCCCTGCATATTCGACACATTGCGGATCCTTGCCTTTTATCTATCATAACCGATATCCAGTTTGTTCTAAGTACTTTATCTTGGGCTGTCATAAGCATTCCTTCTGTTTCCTTTTTTAGATATTCATTTGCCAGCCACTTCCAACTTTCCTTTTCATCTTTACCATCTTTTGTCTCCTTGAAGTAAGCAGAGTGCAATGGTTTTTCGCCAAACCTTTCTTTTCTGTTTTCAATTATCATTTTCTCCTTTTCCTCTGGGCTTTGTCTCTCTTTGATGATATTTTCTTAGCACACTTCTTTAAGTAGTTGTTCTTGCTTAGTATTTATATAATATCCAAGGCTATTCTCTTCTAAAGTGATAGAATCCTCTATACTAATTAAGCCCCGACCTCCTTCTTTTCTCTTCCAATACAGTCTGTCTAAATCTGCCTGTAAGTGCCTGCACCGATATACAGTTAGCAGTTTTCGTGTTTCCTGTCCATTTCTCGTAAGTCTTCATTTGTCCAGTTTACAATTCCTGCGCTATATCGCACTGTTGCAACTGCCCATTAATTTATTGACTCGATTGTATTCTTTCCATTAAGACTTGCTTTTAGAACCTTTCTTACCCTCCTGAAGTATTCTTTCTTGGTCATTTGTTTCATTTCGTTGCTCTTGATATCATCACTTTGAAGAATGCCGAGATATTTATATCCCTCACTTTGCTCCAAAGATCTTATCTCTGCTCCATCTGGTAAAGCTATGCCTGAACTTTCCACAATATGACCTCTTATCAGCTTAACAATTGCGCATTTTTGGATGCCGAATTCAATACCGATAAAGATTATCACCGTTTGTACAAGTGTGTCAAACTCTTTTTCATTTTTTGCGTATAGCTTCAGATCATCCATAAAGAGAAGATGATTTATCTTGCCACGGTCTTTTCCAAGCTTATATCCATCTCCCATTCCATTCAACAATGCAGATAACAGTATCAAATATAGAACAAACAAGATTGGAGATAAACTGTCTCCCTGAAAAATCCCTCTCCTAATATTCACCAATCCTAATTCATCTGTACCGGATGTTAACTCTACCTTCCAGGAATTCATAGAATTTGCTATCAGTCGCCCAACGCTTTCAGAAATCTTAAACATTTGCAGACATCGTTTGATCCAGGAGTGGGGCACCATATCATATGCCTTCTTGTAGTCAATCCACGCAAGTCATAGGTTTGTCATTCTCCTTTTGCAGTTCTTGATAACCATTTTATCGATCAAAAGCTGGTCTTTAGTACCCCTACTATTTTGCCTGCAACTTTTCTGTTCTTCCGGTAGCAACTTATTCGTTTCAAGATGGTCATACATTTCTTCAGCAAATATGCCAGTCATTAACTTCCACATCATGGCAAGGCAAATAATGGGCCGAAAGTTTGAGACAAGACTCCCTTTCGACACATCTTTGATGATAAGAGCCGTTCTACCTATCACCATCCAGTTCGGTACTTCTCCTGTATCTACGCAATCTTGAAAATGTTTAGACATTCTTTCATGTATACTATCAAATATTTTCAACCAATACCCATGCACTTTGTCCGGGCCACACGCTTTCCATTTTGGTAGTTTTGATAACTGTTTTTGATAATTCTTTCCTGGTCAATTTGGAAACTCTCTTGTTGTGGAATATTACCATAGCTTTCCTCCAGATCTTTGTGCCTTTCTGCATCTATGTTGTGCTTCTTCTCTATACCCCAAATGCTACTCCAGAATGTTTTACTTTCTTCTGCATCTGGCTTGATTTCGCAATTCCTTTCCTTTCCATCGATTTTTTCAAACAATCTCTTTCTGTTTGTTTGGAAGAGCCTATTTTGCAGAAACTGATTGTTTCTTTCCTCGTATTTCTTTATCTTAGCTGCCTTAGCCTTCACCCTTTGCTTAAGCTCTTCAATAACCACCAAAATCACTTTACCTTTGACATGGTAAACTTATTCCAGCCTTTTCTTAGCATGTCCACTTTTTAATGATTTTCTGTTCCATTGGTCTAATTTGCTGATATCCTTTCATAGCTCTCGTATTTTTCCTGTTATTCTCTTTTTCCACCATGGATCTTTGTCTCTGGATGCCTTCTTTTTCTTGATATTCATTAGATCAGCAACAACATTCGCCCCAGCCAGTACTAGCACATTGATCTCTGTGATGTTTTTAGTTTTAACTCTACTGATAACACTATTTACTATCGTTGACGATTCTCGCAATTTCTTCCTATCTACATGTCGTAAGTTTTGCGCTTCTAATCTTTTTGGATGCTCGAATTTTTCTTTTATTTGTGTCAACACTTTTTCTTCTTCAGTGGTGATACCTTCCTCTCAGGTAATAATGTTTCATCAATAACTTAATGGTTTTGTTCTGCATTCTCTCTTTCATTAATTTCCCTGGCATCTAAGTTCCTTTTTATTTCCTCGATTTCAACTTGCTGTAACGTGTGCATGTGTGCATGTGATGTCATGTTCGAAGGCACATCTGTAGAATCGTGAGTTTTCTAATGGTGTCATAAGGCAATGCTAGTTAATGACGTATTGCTTGTGCTCGTCATGTGATGACATGTCACGTTTATCAATAAGTTGGAAAACCGTGATTGTTCGAAGATTAGAGAATTGGAATATGCACTAGAGACACGTCTGTTTCTGTTGTCCGTTCTGCCCGGTCATAACAAATTGGTGACAGAGGTAAAAGCAATGGCGAGTAGCATTTTGCCGGAAAAGTTTGATTCTGGTGATTTCCCGAATTGGCTTTGCCAATTTAATTGTTGTGCCTCCGCTAATGGCTGGACAGACGACCAAAAGTTGCAAAAGCTGCCGGCATTTTTGCGAGGGTTGGCGGCTACGTATTTTCATACATTATCCGATGATGAAAAAGATACGTTTGCACATTTAGCAACCAGTCTCCAGACTGCCTTGTGTCCTGCTGTCGGACGAGAAGGCTATTTTCGAGAATTTGAAGATCGTGTTTTGCGTAGTGGTGAGGATCCTAGTGTTTTTCTGTGGTCTCTTCAGGAATTGCTGAAAAAGGCGGATCCGACTTTGGAAAAAGCTGCCACTTCTGCCTTGTTATCCCGACAATTTATGAAGGGACTTCCCAATACCATTTGTTCGGGTTTTCACGTAAATTTTCATTGCGTAGTCGATTAAGGTTTTGGTTTAGTGTAATTAAGCCTTAAAATGTATCTTGTGACTTGGTGACGCAGCTTTTCTGTTTACCATATTTTCTAATTGCTTCGATTATAATAATTACACTTTCGTTTGAGCCAACTGACGTAAATTGAATAGGGCATCGTCATTGGTAGTTTATTTTGGATTAATTAGTTTACAGTATATATATAGAACGTTGAAGTTTTGTTATTGCGTGCGTGCAACTGGGGGTGGTTGTGCGAACCCAGCTGTGATTTGCTGAATGATATGAAATGTGAAAAGCTCGAATGACTTTTTCTTCAGTGTTTTCTCTGGAATACAAAGTTTAAAAAGAATCAGCAAGATAGATCCTGAGAGGTCTAAAAATCTGGTCCACCGAACCTAGATGCATTTGTGTTTCAGTGAATGAACTATGGATGAACTGAAGAAGAAGAGAAACATCAGAGGAGGACATAGAGCTTTTGCAACGCAGTTGATCAGACAGATTGAAGATAGTCTTGAAGATCAATTGAAGTTGAAGCAGCTTGAGATACAGCTAGATGAGAAATTTGAAGTCTTAGAAAAATTGGATGACGAAATTTTGGGTCTTGTAAGCGAAATTGATGAAGATGGTTTGGGATGCTTACAAGAAATTTCTGAGGCTGGAGAGATGAAGGAAAAAATAAATCTAGCGCTGCTCAAGTTGAAGAGTTTAGTGAAGAATGAGAAGCAGTTGGAATCGCAGAAGCCTAATTTAACAAGACATGGCTCAGAAGAATCAGTTTATTCTGTAGAAAGTTCAGCGTCGTCAGCAACTCGTAAAGTTCGTGCGAAGCTACCGAAGTTGGAACTGAAAAAATTTAGTGGCCGCCCCCAAGATTGGCAGGAGTTCTGGGATAGTTATAAAAGTGCGGTTTACGAAAACGAAGAGATTTCAAAGATTGACAAGTTTTCGTATTTGAAGCACTATTTGGAAGAGCCTGCCAAAAAAGTAATTGCTGGACTTGCTTTGACTGAAAAAAATTATGACGTAGCTGTCGATTTGCTTGAACAGAGATTCGCGCGACCAACGACGATAAAAAGGGCACATATCAACGAGCTTCTGAATTAGATGCGGTTTTTAATGAAAAACATGTTAAGAAGATGCGAGAACTTTATGATACTATTGAGACACACCATCGTGGATTGAAAGCCCTAGGAGTTGACGAAACATCATACTCGAACATAGTTGTACCTGTTTTAATGGACAAGGTTCCAGAGGCTGTTCGCCTGAACATGATTCGAGGAAGTAAGAATCACCAAGAATGGGATATGGAAGAAATGCTTGTGGCTTTTCGAGAAGAATTGGAGATTCGTGAACAGCATGTTTCGATTTCAATGGCTTTGGGAAATGGGACCGTTTCTGGTAGGACGTCACCAGAACGGCGAAGTGAGATGAAACCGAGGTTTCCTGGTCGAACAACAACAGCGAGTGCGTTGTTTACGAAACAAGATGGTGGATTTGTGAGAAGAAAGTTCTGTGTATTTTGTAAAGAAGATCACGAAGAAGCCGATTGTCACAACGTCAGGAACAAGGAAGAAAGGAAGGATCTTGTTTTTAAATATGGACGTTGTCTTTTGTGTTTAAAAAAGGGACACAGAGCTTATCAGTGTCATTCGAAGGAAAAATGTAAGTTGTGTAACAAACGACACCATGTTGCAATTTGTAATGTTGTTGGTAGTCAGCCTAGTGCTAACCAAGCTCGTGTCAAGACTGCTGATACTACTGTTACCACTTCTTGTGTAAGTAATATAGATTCTGGGGGGAGAGCAGTCTTGCAAACCGCCAAGGCCGTAGTTACAGGTAGCATAAGGAATGTTAAGGCACGTGTTCTTTTTGACTCAGGTAGTCAGAGGAGTTTTGTAACACGAAGTATGGTAGAAAAACTTGGTTTGAACCCCATTAAGCAAGTGCGCTTAGGTATAAAGACATTCGGATCTCAAAATATGGACGAGAAGATAAGAGATGTGGTCGAGTTAGAGTTGAAAGGAGTTGAAAGTGGAGGGAAAGTGAAAATACAGGCCTTTGTTGTTAATGAAGTTTCAGAAATACGCAATGAACATGTTGAAATATTGAAGTATGATTATAAGCATCTTACTAACTTGTGGTTTTCAGATGTTTGTAGGCACGAAGATTCCCTTATTATAGACATTTTAGTTGGAAGCGATTGGCTTTGGACGCTTCAAGATGGTCGTATAATACGAGGGGAGCCAGGAGAGCCTGTTGCCATTCATACTAAGATTGGATGGGTTGTGTCAGGGCCAATAAAGGGTAAGTTAACTGATTTGGCAGAATCTTGTTCTTCAAATTTGGTTGTAAATGGTAATGGTATAACAGTTAATTTGATGCACCAGAATAAGGAACAGGAATTAGAACAAGACATTAAAAAATTGTGGGATCTTGAGACTTTAGGAATTAAAAGGCAAGATAAGGTGCATGAAGAATTTTTGGATAATATAGAGTTTAAAGGAGATAGATACTCTGTTCGTTTGCCTTGGAAAATGGGGCACAAGCCCCTTTCTACTAATTATACTCTTAGTCTCAACAGATTGAAGGGGCAGTTGAAAAAGCTCAAGGAGAAGCCTGCAATAATGGAAACCTATGATGGGATTATAAAGCAACAAGAAAGGGATAGAATCATTGAAGAGGTTACAAGTCTTGAGCCAAGTGAGAAGCTTAGTTATCTGCCACACCATGCCGTTGTACGAAATGATGCAGAAACAACAAAGGTAAGAATAGTATATGATGCCTCTGCAAAAGATAGGAAGTCAGGTACCTCTCTAAATGAGTGTTTACATGTTGGACCACCATTAAATCCACTTTTGTTTGATATCATGATAAGATTCAGAGAAAATAAGATTGCAATAACATCTGATATCGAAAAGGCATTTTTGAATATTGAAGTGGATAAAAAGGATAGAGATTGCTTGAGGTCCTTATGGGTTGATAGTTCTTGTGATAGTGAACCAAACATTAAAGTTTACCGCTTTAATCGTGTTGTTTTCGGAGTAAATAGTTCTCCTTTTTTGTTGAATGCTGTTGTAAGACATCATTTAAGTACTTATGAAACAGCTGTTCCAGAGTTCTCAGCAAAATTGTCTAGAAGTTTCTATGTAGATGACCTAGTGTTAGGATGTTATGATGTAGAAAGTGGTAAAGAACTCTATAAAAAGGCAAAGAAAAGAATGTTAGAGGCAGGATTTAACTTAAGGAAATGGAAGAGTAATGATCCACAACTTGCTCAATATTTTAAGGTTATGGAAGAAACTGGGAAACATCCTGCAGATGGAGGGGGTGAATGTAGCTATGTAAAGGAAATGCTAGGGGAAGAAATTTCAGACACTAAGAGTAAAGTTTTGGGAATAACATGGGATATGTTGAAGGATAATTTGGAATTTGAGTTGACAAAAATAGAGAACAGTGTTCCAAATTCACCTGTTACTAAGAGAACCATCTTAAGCATGATTTCCAAACTTTTTGACCCTTTAGGACTTGTGAGTCCAATTATTGTAAGTGCAAAGGTTTTGTTTCAGGAATTATGCACCTTGAAGTTAGGATGGGATGATGAAGTAC